CATATCGTAAGTAATATATATACAGAAATCTTTTGGGACTGTGTGTTAAATAAGAACGCAATAACAAATCTCAATAAAAGAATTTAGTATGTAAAGTGAAATTACTGTCGACTCTCGTTAACTAAACATTAATAATTGAACCTTAGAATTAAAATAAAAATAGTTACCATCGTCCCCCGCCTAAGGGCATTTTACATGAAACACAAAATTGTTCTATTTCTAGAGATTGAGGTATGAATTGGGACATCAGTGCAAAATTGTAATCAATGCTAGATCTGCACATGCCAGTAACAATAAATTAATTAAAGAATTATAATGAAATAACTCCTGTGTATGTGTCAACAGGAAAACATTTGTATACTTGTTATCACTATTTCGAAGCCACAAAATGTGACAAATACAAAATCAACAGGATATCGGCTGTAAAATGGTATTTCCTGCCCAGTCATCAATCAAGGTATATGGGCAGTTCACACATTTATTTACATGGGTCTGACTTGGCATCTTATCCTGTAACAAACTATTTTAGGCTTTGACCACCAAGTGTGACATTGACCTTTGAGGTAGGGGTCTAGGTGTTGCGCAGGACATGTAATCTTATAATTGTTAGCATTTGTGTCAAGTTATTTTAAAACCCCTTGATTAATGAAATAATGTACCGCACAGAAAATAAACTCTAAATCAGACCATGTTAAGCTTTGGCACTGAATTATTACCTTGACTTTGAATGAGTCTGGCTTTGCATATGATACATGGTCCCATTATTGTATACATTTGTGCCCAGTAATTTTTAAAATCCCTTGCACGATAAAGAAATTACGGTATACTCACACAAACCTATAAAAGTTCATGCTAAACTTTGACCTCTGAGTGTGACATTAATCTTGAAGAAAAGGGTCCTGGTATTGTTTATGACATATCGTCTTATAATTGTCAAAATTAATGCTAAGTATTTTCAAATCCCTTGATGGATGAGAAAAGTATGCCCTGGAAACAAAATATACCCTTAAACAGACCAATTTACCATCCCATATGCATGGGCCTGACGTCGCATCATACCCTGTAACAGACAAGCTTTGACCTCTAAATGTGACCCTGACCTTTCAGGTAGGGATCTAGGTGTCGAGCATTACATGTCGTCATTTAATTGTGAACATTTGTGCCAAAAAAAATTCAAAATCCGTTAATCTAAAAAGATGTTAATTACCGGGCACAAGATATAACCGGCAGCAGATTATGTAAATCTTTGACCTCCAACTGTGACCTTACCTTTTTAGGTAAGCAACTGGCTTTTGCGCATGACACATTGTCATATTATTGTGTAAATTTGTGCCATATACTTTCAAAATCCCTCTATGTATAGGAAACTTATGGACCTGACACGACATAAACCCTCATAATATACATAATATCGACCTTTAATCAACAAGCATGATATTGACCTTGGAGGTAGTGTTCCGGTTGCGCGTGACACATCGTTTCATTATAACAAACATATGTGCCAAGTTATTTCAAATTCCTTTGATAAATGACAAAGTTATGGACCAAACACGAAAATATGATAGACGGACAGAGATACGGATGGACGGACATGTCAATAATTGGGGTTAATGTGCTTTTCCTTTGAATTTATGTGGCATTTATCCCCATAAAACAGTAAAATACCACATAAACCATGGGATTTCCTTCTTTTTTAAACTAAAATTATGGACTGAATGAAGCTCATAGACCATTGGATTTTCGCCCGGACGGACGGACGGAATGAAGCTCATAGACCATTGGATGTTCGCCCGGACGGACGGACAGACGTTACCTATTTATATACCCCCCTTTTTTCTTCGAAAAGGCGGGGGACAAAAAGATAACGAAATGTCGGAAGAAACAATAGTACAATGGTTTTAACAATGCAGTTACTAATATTTTTTGCAGGGGAGATTATCATTTTATCCACTTCATGTATTACGATGTCAATTTCGATTTTCATCTAATAATTTTGCATGTGTTTGTGTAAACAAAGGATTTTCGAGAATACGAAATTACATAGAGTAAGAAATGTCAATAATTCAAGGCTAAATTTCAAACGTCGTTGTTTCCGATTTAATATTCAATAATTTATCAAAAAAATATTTCAGTTCAGGAAAGACATGGTGAATTATTACATTATTACAACGAATCTGTCTTTTACTGTTAAAGAGATAGTTGTAAGGATAGTTCAAGTCAGAAAATCAAGTTTAGTATATAACACCCTAATTATGCTGTTTTAAGTTTTTGCTATATTCTGATGTTCCTTTTTCTGATATCATATTCAATAACAAATTAAAATATAAAGTCATGCTTAAATAATAAAACAATAATTTTAACACAAATGCCTTGACACATGTTCAATCATGACGCATCAAGGAGAAGAAAAATAAAACAAACAAAATATTTATTAGAAAAAGTGAATACGCAGTTCCAGACCATTAAAAAATCTCGTAATAAAACATTGTTTTAAACTGTTTGAAAGTTTTCGCTTGCGTTGTTTGTTTAAGCTTTAGATAATAACATGCTACTGTCCCTTTAAATATTAATTCTATCAGCCGAGGCCGGTATAGGCTGGAAGAATCAAAACATGCGAACAACCAAAGACGGTAGTATGTTTTTCAAGTTATCATATAACAGTCATAAAAATCGTCAATATTGCAAGATAATACTTTAAACTTCAGATGATAATAATAATAATTATAAAAATATTAATAATAATAATGATAATTAGAATTATAATAATAATAATAATAATTAAAAATAATAATAATAAGAATAATAATAATAATAAGAAGAATAATGAAAATAATAATAATTATTATTATTATCATTATTATTATTCTTCTAATTATTATTATTATTATTGCTATTATTATTATTCTTATTATCATTATTATTATTACTTTTATTATTATTTATTATTATTATTATTATTATTATTATTATTATTATAAGAACAAGTCAGAATAAAAGTAATTCTTGTAATCAGATTCCTCTGCCAATGAAACATTAATCGTGGTATGACTTAATATAAATTTATTCCATTGCTAATATAAATAAATAAAACATTATCGGAGAGGGTTTTACTACGAAAAATAATGTACAACACGTTCTGTCTGGGTTTTTATGTCTATTCAAAAGTACTTACGTTTAAATAATACAACACATAGGAAGTGACGTACTTTAACGTCATTAACCATCATTAAAACGGCACATGCATATGAGCGTTATTCTGATATGACTAGTTATTAAATTATCATAAACAAAGCGAACATTGTCAAGGCTAAAAAAAACATTATTTATTACCTATTTGTTATGTTTATGTTGGGGTGTGGCCATCGATGATGCCAATTGCGTACAAGTAATGATTTCATTAAAATGTTTCGGTTCTTAAATTCTCGTTTTTCGGTTAATTCGTGATTGAGAAGGAATTAATTAGATCATACCAGAGCATATAACTTTAACGTCTCATATATTGCAGTTATTGTTATACTGTTCCAGAATGTAATTGAACTTTTAAATGCTAAAACATATCAGTATATATGTCCCGACTTTAGAAAAGTAAAAGATTCTGAATTGTGCTTACAATATTATTAAACCTAAGTTAGTTTCTGATTGGGGAATTTTATTTCATAGAAAGTGTGGGGCCCACAATACGCATATTTCTGTCCATATAATCCCATTGTGTACTGTGATCTTTGAGAACGCCAACACCTTCGACCCTCCTTATCTTTGTTAGCTCTGAATATGATTAATTGGACTTCAGATGTCACATGGCTCCATTTCCCTGACCGTTGTGTACATTTCCTCAAACATGATTTAGCATACCCGAAACAATGTGCACAATGTACATTGTAACAAAACATTTTAGTATTAGTCCTTAAACAACTCAACACTTTCATTCACACGTTTTAAATCAAATGTATTGCAAAACAGTTTAATACAATACAAGATAAATCAGCAAACTTACATTATAGCATTATGTACAAATAACATACAATTATGAATACAAAATGTTACATTCACATTACTCACGACAATTGAAGAGTTTACAATGTACTCAGTACTTGTTGGAGTGTAAAACTTAGTTTTAATAACTGTACATATAGATCTAAAGGAACTTTATTATAAGTCCAGTATACAGACACATTAATAAGTATTGAATATTTTGGATTGATGCATTTAATGTTATCTGTTTTGAAATACGGATACAAATACATTAAAATTGAATATACTTATCAACCACATTTTACTGTAAAAATGACAAATAGTACGTTTTCGCTCAAGGACAACCTATTTTACGCTGTACAAAATTTGTATTCATGTGCAATTAGAATGTTATATTTCAAAAAAATGGCATGCTGCATACATTTATTTGAAATTAAAGAAATTTTGATCGAAATCATTATAACTTTGCTCTGAGTAAACATATTACTTTTGACGTACAACATAGAATATTGAAAACACATTTGAGCTTCGGTATATGTTTTAGAGCTTAAGATTTATAAAAAAATTTATAACAATTCCTTTTACAATACAAATTGATAGGTAAATGTACTGCTCAAAATAATGCGTACTACGGGTTTTTAGGAAGGGTAATCCTAAAGTTTGCCACTGTTATTATAACTTGCAATTATAGTACAATCAATGTTGGTATATATATGTTCATACATACGAACATAAGAATATAAAACGTATACGTATTGTAAAATATCATCATAAGTTTGGTCTTCATGAGCCAAATTGTTAATAAACAACGGATACATAGCTGCACAATGCACATCAGCGGCCAACGACGACCCCCTCACCCCTCCTCCACCCACCCCTACCCCCACAAAAAAGAAAAAATATGAAATAAACAAATATGAAAAAGTCAAAACGTATTCGACTGCAGATATCACATAAGCATAACATTTTAACATCATTCCTTTTAAGAAGAATAGAAAACAAACATAGAAAACTAAATACGAAAAAAAAAAACAACAACAAATGCAAAACCAACAAAAAAAAAGAAAAAGAAAGAAAAAGACGATCAGCCTAAAGATATTGTTCGTCATTCAAGTCGGTACGCACTTACCACTTTCATGTTTTATTTTCAAGTCTCAGACAAAAATGCGCTTTGCAGTACCGAAACCGAAATATTTATTTAGAAAGGATCCGAATGGTTACGTGTAAATCATTCTCAGTAATGTCGTAAGTATTTCTAACATTCGCATTCGTTAGTGTTTATGGCAGGTCGGTACTAAATGATCATCAGAATATTCGAAAACGTTCATACAATGACATTCATTCCACTAAAATTAACCCTAACACCAATTAGTCAGGTTAAAGAACAAAAATAATATGTCGTTGATTTATTGGCTTGAGCTTGAAGGCAACCTATCTAAAATCCTGTCTAGTTTTTTGTCCATTTCCTTGATTTTCTCACTAAGATGATGCCATCTAAAATCACAAAAATTTGAAATACCGAGATCGTCTTTAACAGCAGATATCGGGATAATAATACCGTGTGTATTTAGTTTACCAACACAAATCCCAATACATACTAACTGATTGCCAGAGTCCTTCACGAACACGAAAGCTCCAGAATCACCAAAGTCATTGAACAATTGAGTGCATAAAGATGATTCAGGTCTGACTGCTATTTGATTTTTTAAAAGAAATGTATACTCATTGCTGCCAAGTGTATACTTACGCTCATATTTAATCATTCGGACCGTGGTATTTTCAAACTCTATATACCCTCTAGTGAGTGCGGTCGTTCGCCCATATTTTAAGACCGGTGTATTGTATTTTAGGTCAGATGTCCCTAGAGTTCTTCCGGTTTCGAAACACATCTCTATCATGAAAAAAATTACTTATATAAAATTTAACTTAAATACTATAACAGGTACGTTTTCACGACAAATTATTTTAATGTGTTGTTGAGTTTATGTTACTGTCAATGTTGATATTTTCAGCCTTTACTGTAAATGGCCATTTTATAAAAATGGTTTAGTAAACATGGACCATGACATAATGTCAAACATAATTTGTTAAATCATTAAGAATATGTAGGAATCTGGTAGATACCATAAGCTAATTTAGAAAGAAGTTATGCAGTACAAAATAAGGTATGCAGTAAGTGCTTAGTCTACGACAAACTTACAGAATCTAAAGATAAATATATCAAATAGATGTATTATAGGTCGAGGTTTGGTTAAGTACCTGATTCTTCTGGGAAAAACCCGGAATCGGGAGCTGCACCTTCTATTTTGAAAACAGCAATATCGATACCACTTGAATCCTCACTTCCAGTTCGGTAAACTGCCTCTTTAACGGGACCAAGCTTATAGTCATGTTGTGTTGTGTTTGGATGAAAAACCATTGGGGACTCTTCTCTTGACCAAACTTTCTTTTCTCCTCTTAGATCATGTATCATTGCTTCTTCTAACACAACATGTGCACAAGTGACACCGCATAATCCAAAGTCTTTATGGTAAAAGAAACCACCCAACGTTCCAAATGATTCAGGAGTCCTATTTGATGTAATTTGACAACCCATTTTGACAGGTTTGCTATACCTTTCCGACGGCAAAATTGTTCTCTGAAATATACCCTCTCTGACATCAACCGGAACGCCATCTAAATTGTCTTCAAATTTATTTTCGTGCAGTGGAATTTTACCTTTTGCAATAACATATAAAACAATACATGATTGGAAAGAAACAAAATGCTCGGATGGCCCTAAACTAAACCTTTCAGATCTAACATTACTTCCAGATATAGCAGATAGATATTGGTGATTTCGTAGAAGTCGGTCAGAGTGCTTATTGATAACGCTTCCTAAATCCTCTAATTTAGAGAAACATTGATTTGTCTCTCTCAGTTGATCTACCTTTCGTAAAACTTGTTCTGATTCTTTGCTGCACGAATCAACGTGAGTAACAAAGACATTGTAACTAGTTTTTTCAAGTTTGTTTTTGACCTTCAGATCGTCCTCGATGTCCTTAGTTGTGAGAACAACAAACACAATATCATCATTTGCCTTTGTGTCGTAAGCTGGCCAAACGTGCACAATGGAGCTTGATATATTTTCTATGAACTTGCTTATGCGCTCGCATTCTTCATATATTTTATATTTGTTTTCATCCGCTCTTTTCCACATCATGTCAAGTTTTTTCTGGTCTATCATAGATGGATGTGCTGTGACTATAATGATAAAATGCAGGAAAAAACAACAACATTAAAATACACGATATTTCCATAGGTCGTTTATTCTGTTGCTGATTGAAAATTGATAACATTGTCCCTACGTGAGGCGACAGTAATCAGCCCTTTCCGCCAGTATGGAGCAAAACCAGCCTGAATATTTACAGTCTGACCAGCTCTATACTTATGGCTAACTAACATAGCAAAATTGATAAGGGACAGTTAAAAAAAAACAAACAGGAAAAGATCATTAACATATTTATCACATTGGATATGAAATCGTTCTGTGTATGTAGAAGTTTTGCTCCGCACAAGCGTTTTAAATAACATTTCAGTTTGACCTTGACCTTTGACCTAGAGACCTGGTTCATGCGCATGACACTATTTATCATAGTGTTGAACATTACTATGAAGTTTCATTAGTATCCCTTCATAATTGTAGGTGATGCCTTGCATTATGTCAAAATATTTATTGAAGGTGACGTAAAACAATCTATTAAGCAATTATAGTAATTATCAAGGCAAGCTAAGTGTAAATTTCCCACCTCTGCAAATCGTAAGATTTACTCATTAATCAAGCATAATTTCTCTTCATAATTTGGTTTTTGTTTACATCTGCATTGTGTGCGATTAATTGTTATTTTGAATTTAAGTATAGGCTGTAGGTGTGACAATTGGCAAATCTGTTCGAACCCGACAGGTTAATTTTAGAGTAAATTAAAAACAAAAATAGAAAATATAGAAAGGATTTTTACTTTTGAAAATAGAACGAATAAAATCGGGACCAGACACATCGTTCGGATAAGAAAGAATTCCGGATAAGAAGGTTCGGATAAGCAAGGCTCCACTGTATTAAAATCCTTCTATGAATGTAGAAAAAATCTGGAAACAAAGTGATCCCTCGGTAGCATTAATCACAACAGAATTACATAAGAATTGCAGACTCGGTTTAATTGAGTCTATACATGAGGGATAATGAATAAGTGCAACGTCCCTCACGCCCCCTAGCACCGGCTTGAGCGGTAATCAAGAGCGGTGCTCAATTCACAACACTAAATAGTGCTGGCATCAATGATCCCGAAGGACCAAAAAATATAACAACGCTGAAGTGAAGTACGGGGCAACTTTTAACAGCTGCCACACGGTACTTGACACCTGCTGTTGTGAAGTATAAAAAGTTTTCTCCGGACAAGCGTTTTTCAATGACTTCTAAGTGTGACATTGACCTTTGACCTAGAGACCTGATTTATGTGCGTGACACAGCTTCTCAATTTGTTAAACATTTCTATGAAGTGTCATTAAAATTGCTAAATGCGTGTAGGAGATATTATCCGAGCAACAATGGACTCGCCCACCCACCAGACATCCCGCCAGGGGAAAACTATATACTGAAAGAAAAAAGTTTAGCAATTCTGTATTGAATATAATATATTGATACGTTCAGACTACATTGAACAAAATCTCAATCACATGCATCTTCAAGCTTTTAATTTCATTTGCAATTTAATCTCAAACAGACATTGAATTCTCAAGATTCCGTCAACAAAAACTTGTAGGGATCTAAGGTAAAACTCACAAAAGTTTTAATATCGAGTATGTCCTCCGTTAGCAGCAAGTACACCAGCACATCTTCGACTCATTCTGTTGATAAGTTGTCAAACAACATGTATAGGAATTCGGTGCCCTTCCTAGTGCAATGTCTTCTCACGATTACGCACGGTGATGCCGTCATTACGTTCTCTAACCTTAAGCCCAAATTGGTCCCACATGTGTTCAGTTGGCAAAAGATCGGCCGATCTGGATAGCCAAGGAAGAACAGCAATGTTGTTACGCCTGTAAACATTCTCTGTGTGTCTTACAGTTTTTGAGGGGCTTATCCTGTCGTGAAAGTCGTGCAAATTGTAACTGAAACGGTACAACAACTGGCCTCACTATCTCGTCAGAACATCGCACTGCAGTAAGGTTTCCAGCAACTGTAATCAATGCAGATTGACCACGATGACAAATTCCCGCCCATTTCATCACACCGTTACGCTTGCGTTGAATGTCGGATCGAATCGCTCACCCTTTCGCCTCCATACACGTAACCTTCCGTCAGCAAATGAAATATTAAATCTTGACTCACTGGTAACTACTGTGCACGGAACCTTACATGTATGGTAAATTCTAGCCCCAGCGAAACAATCCTGTCGATGATGTCGTATTGTCATAATTGTGAAGTTTCTTCTTTCATTTTGTAATATATAGATTCTCATTATATATTGTTATATGCTTACGTCATATGTCTTGCATATGTGTGTTTTCTATAGGTCTTATTTTCAGCACTGTATTTTTGGCAGGGTTGTTTACTTTGCTCTTCTATAAATGATGTGCTTTATAAAGTTAGTGGACTTTTAACCATATATATACGATATTTGGAATAAATTTAAATATTGTAGAACGTTTGAATACAAAATATGATAAACAAGATCAACAAGGAAAGGCGGCGTTCAATAAACGCATCCCCCATACGACACAGCAACAAGACAAAATCATATGTTGTAATTATAATAGTTATAAAAACAAAACTGTCATTTGCATAAAACTTTTGTTGTTAATAATTAAAGTGTTTGAGTTGTTTACTTGATGACCATTGAATGTAAAAATTTCATCGCTAATCAACATGATCTGTGTCAGCGATCGAGTCAGGGAATAAGTGTAAAATGAACAAATAGTTTAGTGATTTCATGTAATCCCTAGCGAAATCAGGGATTTTACATATTCCTTAAAATCACTAGTGGTTACATGAATTCCCTGACTTGGTTAGGGATTACGTGAAATCCCTGGTTACACACATCCCCTGTAACATATACATACATTGTACATTAATCTATATGTACCCTTACAGAACTTGCAAACTTATTTCTTTCAGTATATTATGTAAGAATAATGATAGTGAATTTCATTCCTTATATATTTCAATAGCAAATACAAAAAGTTCTAATTTAGATAATGTGTTGTATTAATATCTATTTTTTTAAAATTATATTTACGAATGTGCAAACCAAAATTTTTCAAAACATTTATACTTCCACGATCTTACATAAAAGGGTTGAAAAATAAAAACAAAAGGATTTTAACAAACACATCATAATATCAATAAATGGATAAACATCTGAAAACAGGTATCCTCCGAGAACAAGATTTTTGTTCAGGTCAGAGCAGGGTTTTGTTTCCAGCAATATAAATATCTCAATCTAAAATCAGTATGAACTTACACGTATACTGTTCAGTATCGAAATTTGAGAAGAATATATTGAAGAGTGTGATTAATGTTATGAAATGTATCAATCTTCGGTAGTAAAATTAGAAGTAATTCAGTTTCGTTTGCCCTGGGCTCTTGTACGTTTATTTGTTGTGTTGATGTTTGTGTCCTGGTATGTATAGTGGTGGCCTTAGCTTTTTACTGTGCAATGGTGATAATTAATAACCTAGTCTCGTGGTATTACCATGTTTCTTTTTTTGATAAAACGCATAATTTTTAATTACATTATGTTTGTTTGCTTGGGTTTTACACCGCACCGACACATATAAGTCATATGGCGACTTTCCGGCTTTACTGGCAGAGAAGACCTTAGGTGCCCTTCCGTGCATTATTTCGGACACGAACGGGAATTTGAGTAGAACAACCGACGTTCAAGGAGCAAGCTGAATAGCTACCTCACATAAAAGAATCCAAAGTCCCTTCCGGAATTCGAAACCACAGCGGATAGGGTAAGCAGTTTGAAGTCCTCAGCCTGAACACTCGGCCACGGATGCCCCTTAAATGCATTATTGATAATTCAAAAAAGGTTATATATTTTTACTTTAATCAAGTTACTTGACATCGCCTTAGTGTTATTGTTGTCTCTTATAAATTATATGAATACAATGTTCTTCATATTTAATGTCTTCTTTAAAAATGTTTTAGAAAAAAGGTGCTTGTGAAGTAAAACATCAAATTAATTGAAAACTTTACCTGGAATATGTGTCTGCACAATGTGCCGACGATGTACCTACAAAGTTAAAATTGAAATGATTTGACCACAATTTTTATATAACAGTGATGCAATTTTATATAAATTTCAACTGAACTATGACAATCATACAATTGCAAATATGCAAGTTTTACTACAGAATCAAAAGGGTGATATCGATGTCAAAAAGGTATGTCGAAAAAACATGATGTATAAATTGATTTTACCTATTCACTTTAACTATGGATTGGTATTTACTTAAAATGCATGAAAAGTAAAACAATGTCCTTCTAAATCTTCTGATTAATATATAGATGCAATGCCCGGTCAACAGGACACTAACATGGAAGTTAGACATATTATTAATTAAATGACCGTTGCGCTACTAAAAGGGGCAACATTCGCTGCCGCGGCAGCGAGTATTTGTGGGTGTGACTAATCGGTGATGTAAAACTGTCTGTTATAAACCCTGAACTATAAATAGCATGCAGTGTTAACCTGCAGAGAGAATGTAAACAAAAACAGCTGATTTTTACACAGGAGAGGTTTAATGGATGTTTTATATAACTCAAAGATTAATTAAAGACATTATCAAGTCATCTTGTCCAGATATTTTTTTTGAAGTCAGTTGTTTTTCTTTTTTTTTTCACTGGAATGCTGTATGTGTCATTCATCAAGTCAGACAATTATATCAAAATCCAAAAGATGTGCCTTACATGGGGCATTACTTTTAGGAACAACCGGCTAAAAATGTTTTTGACAGGAATTTAAAATATTTTTAAACTGTTAATGTATAAATTTGTTATGCATATCCAACATTTAGTTTGATTAACATTTGTGAAATGTAATTTTTGACTACAAGATATTTACAACAAAATATAGTGTAAATGAAATATACCTGGAAGTTACTTTTACTGTTTTCATAAAGTTTAAACCATTCAAATACAAGTTAAATCAGTACTTTGAAATTAAAAAAAAATCATAGAGTAATGAATTATTGTAAATTTGTTTGATTTGAAGTCAGTAAAGTTATTGTTTTATTCAGCATTCCAATGTGTCGTCTGCTGAAAATCTCCCTCCCTGAAATATACATCGTCTGCTACAAATTTCTCTCCCTGCAATAAACACTGCCACGTGCTTCTGTTTACTACTGAAGGTTCATGACCTGTAATGATCACATGGCTCCTCCCAGGGAAATTCAAATTTCAAATTTGACAGCCAGTATTTTTTTTCCAGAAATACACTTAACAAAGTTATATTTTGAATAATTTTGGTCAATCTTTATCAAAAATATCTATGCCCACAAACATGCCAAGTGTTGTTTAAATGCATTTGGTAATTAATCTTAAATCTTTGAAAAAGGGTCCCTGAAGTGAAGCATGCATAAAATAAATAAGAAACCTGCCCTAGCGCCATCTGCTGGCTTTTATAGTCCAGTTGGGCCTTAAAGGATTCCGATGAGCTCGATCATCATCCTATAAATTCCTCGGGGCGGGGCTTATTTTGACACTAGAGGCAAAAATTGAACAAGTTTTGTAGAGGCCCTATAGATGATAACATATACCAAAAATCAAAGCACTAAGCCTTAAACCTTCAGACAAGAAGACTTTTTACTATATGTTCATAGTGAAAAGCATCCCCCCTGGGCGGGGCCAAATTTGACCCTAGGGCTAAATCTTGAACAATCTTAGTAAAGGTCTACCACACAAAGCTTTATGCAAAATTTCCATGTTCTAGGTCTTGTGCGTCTTTACAGGAACATTTTTAAATTTATTCTTAAAATTCCTTTTGGTTGCAATGGCAACAAGATTTCTGCATGTAATTTAATTTTTCGAAGAACTTTGGACGCCTTTTACCCAAGGATTAATCCTGCCAGGTTTGGTTGAAATTGGGCTTGTTGTTTTTTACAAGAAGATTTTTAAGTTCACTATATAACACACAAACACACACGCACGCACACACACACACGAACACACACACGTGTACACACACATACATACATACACACACACACACACAAGCACACAGGTGAATATATAATAAGAATAATATATAATTTTCTAGTGAAAACAGGAGAACAACTTTATATTATCTGTGTAAGTCTTATATTTTTCATGGTTATGAAGTGATCTGAATAATACAATAAGATATATGTTGCTATGCTGTGATATAATAAGGCTTGTTTCTTGAATATAAAATTTTTTCTTCTTTCTTGAAATACAAGAAATGTACAATTCAAATCGATTTGATATTGATGAAATATAAACGTCGCTTACTGTAAGTAACATATTTACATTTTCGTTTGAAGTTCTTTTTTCTAGCGTAGCACGGCGACGAAGTAAAACCGCCTCCAGTTCATTTGTAAGGTCACCACTTGGATTTTTATCTTCAGCCTTCTTGACGTAATAAGCAGGGATGTACCCACGTCTTCCGCTTACTTCAGCAAGGAACCAATCTTGATTACATTTTTCCAAGACCGTCACTACATTTCTTTCCTTGAGTTCGATTTCATCCTGCATTCTTGGTTCGTAATCCCACATAGCTATATATTTTTCTAAACAAAAACATAAAATAAATATAATAAATCCTTTACTGGTTAAATGAGCAGTTTCTGTTAGAAATTTAGATAGTTCTTATTACGTTTTGTACAATAACGCTCAGTAAAAATAATTAAAGGAATATTATAAATCTATTTTATGTCAAAAGAAAGAAAAGTGTAAATATGCAACTTTTAGTCTTAATTAATTGTTCATAATATCATTCATTTAAATATAATTAATTATCAAACCATTTATCTCAAGCCACAAATACAAATGATTTCGATGAAATCTGTCCGTAAAATATGAAAAACAAGATCAAAAAGGAAAGGTTGTGTTCAATAAACGCAACCCCCACATGACCCAGCATTAAGAACCAAAGACAAGGGCAGACGGACCGAAACAAAAACAGGACAGGGCACAAGGCAGAGCACGGACAGGCTAATCACTAAAATGATAAATGAATTGTAACTGAGAAGGAATTAAAAGAAAACAAATAAATGATTGAATAATAGGAAATAGTTTGTAACTGACAAGGAATTCAATAGTCCCACAAAGTTAAAGGGGGAAGGGGACAGGAGACCCGGGGAAAGGAGGGGGGGGGTAAATTAAAGAATTAAAATTAGGGGTAAGGGGGATATACTTACCCTAGACGAGAAAACAACAAGGGACACAAGCAAGAATGTCACCAAAATAGTATGAAAGAACATAGATATACATCTGAGGAACACAGAGGAGCGCCGCCTTGGAACGGTCAGCAGCACAAGTACTGCTGGGGAGTTCAAACCGGTAAATGGTGCACCAAACCTCACTTTTAGCCCCACCATGTTCCTATAAACAAGACAGGACTGAGGAACACAGAGGGGCGCCGCCTGGGAACGGCCAGTAGCACACGTACTGCTTGGGAGTTTTAACCGGTTAATGGTGCACCAAACCTACCTCTTAGTCCCGTTAAACTTACTTAAAGTTTTCTTCATAATTGATTTCAAATAAACGCAAGTGTCTTCTTGCTTCAGTTGAATTTACCTGGCTTTTGTTGAGGTACCGGTATCATATCTTGACAGGATTGGACATGCAATACAGGTTCCGGATGTGCTGCTTGTTCTCGTTCTGTACTTGGAATTGGAGATCCTATACATTGAAAACATTATTTGTCTCTTTACATTTAGCCTGTTGAATAAGTGTAAAAGGTTTGCAAAACTTTGAATTTAGAACAATTTATTTAAGTGTTTAAAAGTTTTACGAGTAGTAATTAAGTTACCATCAGTCTAGAGCCTGGTCGGGACTTCTGTGACCTAGTGGTTGAGATCTTTGGCCTCAAACCACTTGCCCTTACAACTGTCATCTCATTCATGTGAGGAAGCTATCCAGCTAGCTTATGGACGTTTGTTGTTCTACTCAAATGCCGGATGTGTCTGAAACAATGCAAGGAAGGGCACCTGTGGTCTAACTCGATCAGAACAGCTTCGGCATTGCAGTTTGACCATAACAGTGCCCTATCAATACATTATCGTTAATAAAAAGAAACACTTAAATGTGATGAATACAAATTAAATATTTTCTTTCAAATATTTTCAAAAATCTGCTTGTGAATTTAAACATGAAATAAATTGAATTTTTACCTGGTTTTTGTGTTTGCTCAATTTCCCGAAGCTGTACCTACCAAAATTGAAATTGAAGTGATTTGGACACACTTTTGATATAGTAGTGATGCATTTCAAATAAAACCGATGGTAAATGACAATTTTACGAATAATACAAGTGCAAATATTCAAGTAATGCTAATGATTTTTCAATGACGATATTGATGTCAAAATTAAATGATATGTAATTAGATCGTATTTTTAAAGGAAGCTATGACTTGGTATCAACTGGAAACTAGACACTTTAGTGAAATTACCATTTGCTAGTAAAAGATTCCGATAAGCTTTATCATCAACTTACTTGTTGTCAAAGAATTATATAACATGTATGAAGTGAAAGTTATTATCATTAACTCCTGGAAAAATCACATATCCAATGCAATTAAAGTACTTAGGCGACAAAAGCCGGAATTAAAATATATATAAGATCCGTTATCATTGTGTCCTTTCCTCGCCGACCACAATTCCAAAGGGTTGAAAAATGCAAAATATATTTATATTAGACGTCATTAATATGAATAAATAGCATTCGTAATAACCGTAGTTAGTTACCGTTTCTGTACTTTGGTGCCACGTGTTCCTTCTTCGCCGTATGGTTCCAGGTGAGGGTTTTCTCGCAATCGGAAGTGCGACAGCTTTAAAATATGTTGTTAAAGATTAATGTTAATAGTCATTAGCATCCATTCTAACCAGGTATCAATTTATTTTTTATCGACTTCGATAAATTTCGAAAGTAAACAAAGGTGATAAAACAAAATCAATACATTTTAAAGAATGTTTTTTTATTACAGACGAATATTAAAAGCCATATCATCACCATCGTATTTACAAATTCCAAATCTTACCGTAACGTATTTATCATGTAGAAGATAAAAAAAGAGATCCAATTTTAGTAAAAATGAGTCCTATTCCTTTAGAACATTAAGAAACATTGCCACTTGCATCTTCTATTCAGATCATTGGAAAATATATTAAATATTCTGCTTGCTGCAGCATTGTGAGGCATCCTCGTATTAACTTGTTCATTTACAGCATCTGGATCCATGTATTCTTAATAAAGAGAACAACATCAAATTAACAAGAGCTATTAGAGAATATAGTGCTCTAGACCTTTTATATACTGGGCACAGTAAAAACAGTCTTAACTATTAAAACTAGAAATGTGTCCATAGGACACGGGTGCCCCCACACGCCACTGTTCTGTCAATCTTATGACTCAAGGTCAAATATTTTTTGGACTAAATGTGCAACAAGTTGAAAACTAGAAATCTTTATCTAAGTAAATGGCAAGAACTTTACAAATACTGAATAAATCCACAAGCAAACCCCAAGGTGCATAAGTACACATGCTGACCAACATTCTTGTAAACTTTCAGGCCTACAAGTCAAATGCTTTTTGAGTTATGCATGAACAAGTTGAAATTGCAAATTTATACTTCTGTAAGTCAAAGGCAATAACACTAACAAAACTGAAAAAAATCCACATGCAAAGTCCCAGGTGCATAGCTTCACAGTGATGTTGATCATTATTCCTGTAAAGTTGGTTGATTCTAACTCAAGCATAACAACATAATGAAATGTTTTTTACTAAGTCAATGGAAATAACTCTACAAATACTGGATAAAACCACAAGCGAAACACCAGGTGCACAACTACATATGCAGAGCAACCTTCCTGTAAGGTTTAATGACTCTATGTCAAATCCTTTTTGAGTTACATGCGACACAAGTTGAAAATTGCAAACATTTTCTAAGTCAAGGACAATAACTCTAAAAATACTAAATAAATCCAGACAATAATACCCAGGTGCACAACTACACATGTTGATCAACATTCCTGTAAAGTTTCATGACTCTATGTCAAATCCTTTTTTGAGTTACATGCGACATAAGTTGAAAATTGCAAAATTTTCTAAGTCAAGGGCAATAACTCTAAAAATACTAAATAAATCCAGACAAAAATACCCAGGTGCACAACTACACATGCTGATCAACATTCCTGTAAAGTTTCATGACTCTAGGTCAAATTTTTGTTGAGTTACATGCGACATAAGTTGAAAATTGCAAATTTTCTAAGTCAAGGGCATTAACTCTAAAAATACTAAATAAATCCAGACAAAAATACCAAGGTGCACAACTACACATGCTGATCAAATTTCCTGTAAAGTTTCATGACTCTAAGTCAAATCCTTTTTTGAGTTACATGCGACACAAGTTGAAAATTGCAAAATTTTCTAAGTCAAGGGCAAAAACTCTAAAAATACTATATAAATTCACACGAAAATACCCAGGTGCACAACTACACATGATGATCAACATTCCTGTAAAGTTTCATGACTCTAGGTCAAATCTTTGTTGAGTTACATGCGACAAAAGTTGAAACTTGCAAATTTTTACTAAGTCATGGGCAATAACTCTAAAAATACTAAATCAATCCACACGAAAATACCCAGGTGCACAACTACACATGCTGATCAACATTCCTGTAAAGTTTCATGACTCTAGGTCAAATCCTTTTTTGAGTTACATGCGACATAAGTTGAAAATTGCAAAATTTTCTAAGTCAAGGGCAATAACTCTAACAATACTAAATAAATCCAGACAAAAATACCCAGGTGCACAACTACACATGCTGATCAACATTCCTGTAAAGTTTCATGACTCTAAGTCAAATCCTTTTTGAGTTACATGCGACACAAGTTGAAAATTGCAAACATTTTCTAAGTCAAGGACAATAACTCTAAAAATACTAAATAAATCCAGACAAAAATACCCAGGTACACAACTACACATGTTGATCAACATTCCTGTAAAGTTTCATGACTCTAGGTCAAATCCTTTTTTGAGTTACATGCGACATAAGTTGAAAATTGCAAATTTTCTAAGTCAAGGGCAATAACTCTAAAAATACTAAATAAATCCAGACAAAAATACCCAGGTGCACAACTACACATGCTGATCAACATTCCTGTAAAGTTTCATGACTCTAGGTCAAATTTTTGTTGAGTTACATGCGACATAAGTTGAAAATTGCAAATTTTCTAAGTCAAGGGCATTAACTCTAAAAATACTAAATAAATCCAGACAAAAATACCAAGGTGCACAACTACACATGCTGATCAAATTTCCTGTAAAGTTTCATGACTCTAAGTCAAATCCTTTTTTGAGTTACATGCGACACAAGTTGAAAATTGCAAAATACCCAGGTGCACAACCACACAAGCTGACCAACATTCCGGTAAAGTTTCATGACTCTAGGTCAAATACTTTTTGAGTTACGTGGTTAAAGAGAACGGACGGAAGGAAGGAAGGACGGACGGACAAGGGTAAATCTAAATGCCCGGCACTTAAGTGGGAGCACAAAAATCAATGACAATATTTAAATGAAATGTCCAACCACTTTCAAACACTTTACAAGCTTGTCAGCATGTCACCATGTCAATGAAACGGACGAAATTAGAATTAAAGAGAAGAAAATATAATAGAAAACATAACAATGATGAATCTGAAGTATTCATCCATTCAGTAGCACAGATAGCAAGAGTAAAACTTAAACATGTTTAAAGCATAGTTCCATGATTGAAACGAAGATGATTCTTGGAAAGAAAAGATGTTAGAGTAATGAACCTTGTTATAGATGCTGTTAGTGATGACAAGTGACAATTAGCTTTAGATTGTTATAATAAATCATTTTCATCAACGAATTAGAAACCTAAAAAATTGTCAGTTTTCAAAACGATTGTCAGTTCAAAATTGAAATGAGGAGCTGACGCTTAAATTCATCCATTCATTCATCCATTCAGTTATTTATAAATTTTCATTCATACATTAATTCATGAATTAATTTATTCATTCACTCATTCATTCATCCATTCAGTTATTTATTAATTTTCATTCATGAATTCATTCATTCATTCGTTCGTTCCTTCCTTCCTTCCTTCATTCATTCATTCTTCGTCCATATTAATTCATAGCATTGGATACGTCTGGCATATTGTCTTATGGACGTGTTAGTTTGTAATCATAAATTAATTAAAAGTACCCAGATAAATTGCTAATGTTTATTTAAGGAACATAACATCATTTATTGGTTTTCGTTATTTAAACACAATGGTGCAAAATATATTTCTAACGTGAAAATTTCAAACATAAGCATATACCCAGATACAATGTTTCAGGGTCAAATAAGTGTCCCATTTTATTACCTTCCTGGTCTTTCCTTTGCAACAATTAGCGCAGAACATATACGTAGGCACAGTAGTGCATAATTATGACACTTGGCATACATACCTCTAAACTTTTAGATCTCTAAAGGAATGTCATTAAAAAAGAATAAATAAAGATATCATTAATATTTAGACACTAATTAAAAATCATCTATTTGAAGCGTCGCGTTGGGTATTTTTTCTCAAACAAATATTTAATTTTTGAATATATGAATGTGTACGTATATGTACATACACAAAAGAACAGGCTGAAATGCCCTTAATTGCATTCTTTATAATGATATAAGCGTCCGTCCATACATAATATTATATTTTGCATTGAGATATATTGAAAAGCAAAAGATTTCATTATCCATTTAGATAAAGATAATCCATATATGATTGAAGACCATGATTCATAACTGAAAAAAAAAAAAAAAATAAAAAAAACACGATTTAATTAGCCGCACGCGATTTGGAAACAATTTGCATTATATAATAATGCGTGTAATGGTGATGATGCTGTTGATCAAAATGATGATAATGACGATGAGGTGATGATGATTTGGATGACGATTTTGATAATGATGACTTATTTGACTGATGATATTTAAGAATGATTTTTGGTTGTTGATGGAGAAAGGGTAGTGTTGATGATAGCAATGTCGATGATACAGATTGTGAAGAAGACACTGATAAGATTTAAGGGATAATGATGAAGACAATAATGATGATAAGAAGGATTAAAAGAATGACAAGGATTTTCTGTTCAGACAAAAAATCCAATAGAATGATTATCCTGACGATAATCGCGGATGATGATGATCATAATGAAAAAAAATGATTAAGATGATGATGATGATGATATTGATTGTGTTGATGATTTTGATGTTCATTATGAAAAAATGATGATGTTTAATGTTATAAGGGTTAGTTTTAACAATGACACAATTGATAATAAATATTGATGACAGTGATGAGATGAAAATATCGATAATGATAGAGACGATGGTGATGGGGGAGGGGGAGTTTGACAATCGCTTTCAGTTCAAAAACATTCATGTGAATGATTATGATGAGTAACTTGGTAAATATGACGATGAAGATGATGAAGATGAAAAAGATTTATACTCGGTAATGATCGGAAAACATATACTCCGTAATTAGGCAAACGTCTTATAGATAACGACGGGAAAGTATAACGAACAACGCTTTGGAAAAAGACGGTTTACAACAAAGCACAGAATATGTGCTGAAGAGAATTTTAAACTTTGATACATGCCTGTGTTAGGATTTTCGAAGTCGTCTCCGCTGAAACGTTCTTGTTCGTTTGTTTCTTTAGGGAATACAATATTTAAAGACTGAGTAGAACCTCTGCGCGGAGATGATTTTTGTCGAGTCTTCTGATCATCATTTGATAGTGCTGTAACACTTTGTCCAACAGTCTCTTTAATAAAACACAATTTAACACAATTATTGTATTTACTATAAACATGTATTTTTTTAACCTTTTATGGCATGAGCATATTGTGAAAAAAATGGCCGTTTTCATTGAAAGCCTCCTGTAACAAGTGCAAACTGCTATGAAACTATCAAAAATGCTTCAACTGAAATGATGAAACATAGCACAAATATTGACTGGACCATAGCCTTTGTAACAGCATGCTCAATTTTAAATTTCCCGTAACCATGGCAACAGGGGACGTCTCAAAATTGCCAAAAATTACTATTATGCGTTTTTTTTCATCGAAACTGACTTCAAAGTGCTGCAAGTTTTCAATGGACAAAGCTCTTCAGCGTTGGATACACGTTTCCGTTAGTTCGACCGACCTGATGCCATTTTTAGCCTGTCGCATGTCAAAATGTTTTTGGCGATGAGGGGGCTGTCTGGCACCCCTTGATGTACCTTTTTGATAGGGGTGGCGCCGAAAAGTGATCACTTTTCAACATTGTTCCACCAAAGTCAGTGTTTGGGGCCTGCATAGGGCATTTTTTACTATTTGATGCCTCAAATGGGAGATGAAAAGCCGTCAAAACACGTCTTTATGAGGTCCAAGGTTAAATACTCGTCAGATTAATTATACTTATTGTAAATTTTTCAAGGTTGAAAGAATTCAGCTCCCCTGATAATTAATCAGACCCAATCCATTTTACAGCTTTTCGGAGATAACTCATGTATAATCGGGCAAAATATATTCAATGGTTTAAAAAATCCCTTCAAGATATTATACAAAGCAATTATAGCGATCGATTGGCAAGAAACATCAAACGGTCAAATACATTTATTGGTTTGTGCTTGTATAAGGACAACCTTTTTTTATTTGGCTAACTTGTCTAGTTTGAGCTTGCAATTTCCGTCTATGAACAGTCTCAGTAAAACAAAGCCTGAATCTTTTTTCTTTTTTCCCGTTTTCGGGGTTGTTTAAAAGTATTCAATTTTTCTATTTTATAGAAAAATAATATACTCAAATTTATCTATATACTTAAAGAATAAAATGAAATCGATGAAACTCTTTATTTGGTACTTGTTTTTACACACAATATACCTTCAATTTCTTTTATTGATTCTTCATTATAAAAGGTAAGACTACAAGGAGTGCCATTTAACCTTTAATGTAAGATAATTTATTACGTTCCATAAATAAATGTAATGTTTCCCCTAAAATAGCCTTAAAATACATGTTTACTTCCTGATTGTTTCCATGTTTAACCAATTTAATAAAGAGGCGATAAAACTATTTAATCTACATGGACGTCAAAGGAAAAGGTATGTAAAAATTGCTTGATAAACATTCTAAAGTGTATAAAAAACTTGTTTCTTTGGTTGAAATTTGTAACGATTTCACAAAAGTATTTAATCCTAAATAAATGCGATATACAATACATTATGAGTAAGTTTGAAGTGCTAAAAGATAGTACAAATATCATAACATTATGTTGGTAACAAATATAGAACTCGGTACAAAATGGATTTGAAACAATGTCGGCGTGAAAATTTCATAATTCTCATATATCTCAGAGATATACAAGAGATGTAAATGATAATAATTTAGTAATTTGTGGGCATCTAGCTTTGGAATGTGCACTGTTCAATTGTTTCACAAAGTAAATGTGTCCTTATGACTTGCAAACCTACCGTAAACATCAAGTTCATCTTCTTCAGCTTCTTCTGCTTGTACTTCTGCTTTGCTTTGACAAGGTAACACTAAAACACCACGAGGTTTTAATTCACGTGGCGGTACTGCAAATGTTGATATACATGATAACTTTAATAATAAATGTTATGAGGATATATGTAATACATTCATTTATCCTCCAACAAATTAATCATTTTTGTTCTTTTAATTACCATATACACTGAACAAAACTAATGAACCCTCACTACATTTTCTGAACATGGTTGTTACACTTTTTAAAGCAGAACTTATAAATGTAACATGTGAAATTGCTACATCTATTCCAAATAATCATGGTAAATTTCATTAATTTACAATGAAAATTAACGCAATGACAGCAAAATTGGATGGATTAACCAAAGCACTGAATGTGACAAAGTTCCTGTTACAAAAAAGCAATATTTTTGTAAACTTCACGAGTTATTTATCTGAGCAATTAATCCTGTTTATTTGTTACCAATAGTTATTTTCTATTTGGCAAAATCATCATTACAACAACTCTGAGTATGCTACATAAAATCCTGAACAGTTCGTTGACAATTATCAAATGAGTTCTATAAAATTTAATATCATTGCCACAACTTGTCGATTGATGCACAATGTTAAATATATTTTAATACAAAGTCATAAAATTAAAAGGCCAGTCGTCAACTCCAATAAACACACATTTATTGTACCTGAGAGTGTACTGCTACAATACGAATCTTACTGCAAGCTTTGCATTTTTCTATTTCGTATAACAATAGTCCACGGTGTTCTGCCCCTGACTAAGTTCTGTTAACATGTTAAATGCGGTAGTCTGTAGTTGCATTTAGTGAATCGTGCAACCTATTGTGACCTAATTATTTACTTAAATAGATTGTCTACAGTTTTATGCAAATTCAATCCTTTCATAGAATTTTCTAAATTTTTTGTATGATCAGTAAAATTAAATGGCAAATTCACAAATAAAAAGAAAAGTATATGTTGACGTCTTGGATTTCTTGTAAAATGGCAGTTTCCATGGTAACCGTATATCTCAAAACTGTCAAAATAGCCAAACTGTGTTATAACAAATAAAAATGTATAAGATAGCTGAATACACACAACAAGCATTTTTTATGCAAAGATAACCTTATCCAATGAATCTTTATGAAACAAATGATAATCTGAACAAAATGAGTTTTCCATATGCTTCTTAACTGAACAAAAATGAGAAAAATAAACATGACTTATGTGAATAATTAAAGATATTGAAAACTTTCTTTCATAGGGTTTTCTAAATGTTTTGTATGTTGTGTAAAATTTAATGACAAATTCAAAAAGAAAAAGAAAAATATATGTTGATGTGTTGCATTTTTTGAAAAATGGCAGT